GACACAGATATAGGCAGCCTTCTAGTTCAGGGAAAAAAGGGCTCACAATCCTCCAGTTTTTCCTAAAAGAGACCTACAAAGAAGCCACTAAAGTCAGGCTAAGGAAGCATGTGAGCATCATCCAAAATTGGGGTGAAAATAATCATAATAATTCCAAAGAGGAGGAAAAGCAACCGCCCGCCTGGCTTTCGTCGTTCTGGCTTGGGCCCGTGAAACTAAAGATCAACCCCAGCCGGCTTTTCTCAGCCTGGAGGCTCTCTCTCTCTGGTTCGCGCGCGGTGCCTTGTGGGAGCGGAAGCGGAAGCGCTCCGGTCACGTGGGCGGGAGCCAAGATGGCGGCTGGTAGGAAGAGGTGAGCGTGTTTCTCTCCGGAGAGGAAGGATTTTGGAGCGAAATTAGTAGAGAAATGGATTGTGAAGGTTGTTTCTGTGTGGTTTGGAGTCAAGTCAGGAGTAGGACCAAACCAAATTTTCCCCTGAGTTGTCTTCTTTGTGAGGGATGCGTCTACACTGGGAAATTAATGCGGTTTAGACCCACTTCCACGGCGAGGATTATTCAATGCTGGGTTGTAGCTTAGCAGAGAAGGCTCAAATCCAACATCCTCAGAAATAGAAGTCATCAGGGATTCATTATTGTGATTATGAGTCATTATAATAACTAATTAGCAATAAAATAATAATTAATATTAATTAATAATTAATGACGAGAGAGGGAGGCAGAAGACAGTTCCATCTTGTCTCCTGTGCTTTACTGAGAATATAACATAATTTTTATTATGTTATATTATTATATAACATAATTTAGTGTCCAACCATTAATAGTCTAGCTTGCTGTTGACCTAAGCAGCTCGAAAGACAGCCGCATCTACATGCAGGGAAGTCAAAGCCGGCCCGGGTCAGAGTGAGCTCCCGACCATTAATAGTCTAGCTTGCTGTTGACCTATGCAGCCCGAAAGACAGCCGCATCTACATGCAGGGAAGTCAAAGCCGGCCCGGGTCAGAGTGAGCTCCCGACCATTAATAGTCTAGCTTGCTGTTGACCTATGCAGCCCGAAAGACAGCCGCATCTACATGCAGGGAAGTCAAAGCCGGCCCGGGTCGGAGTGAGCTCCCGACCATTAATAGTCTAGCTTGCTGTTGACCTATGCAGCCCGAAAGACAGCCGCATCTACATGCAGGGAAGTCAAAGCCGGCCCGGGTCGGAGTGAGCTCCCGACCATTAATAGTCTAGCTTGCTGTTGACCTATGCAGCCCGAAAGACAGCCGCATCTACATGCAGGGAAGTCAAAGCCGGCCCGGGTCGGAGTGAGCTCCCGACCATTAATAGTCTAGCTTGCTGTTGACCTATGCAGCCCGAAAGACAGCCGCATCTACATGCAGGGAAGTCAAAGCCGGCCCGGGTCGGAGTGAGCTCCCGACCATTAATAGTCTAGCTTGCTGTTGACCTATGCAGCCCGAAAGACAGCCGCATCTACATGCAGGGAAGTCAAAGCCCCTCCTCTCTTCTGCCTTAGTTAGACCACACCTGGAATATTGTGTCCAATTCTAGGCACCACAATTGAAGGGAGATGTTGACAAGCTGGAGAGTGACTAAAATGATCAACGGTCTGGAGAACAAGCCCTATGAGGAGCGGCTTAAAGAGCTGGGCATGTTTAGCTTGAAGAAAAGAAGGCTAAGAGAAGAAGACCAGAGTGAAGAGAGAGGGGGCTACAGTTGAAGACAATTCCATCTTGTCTCCTGGGATTTACTAATAATATAATATAATATATATATATATATATATATATATATATATAATTATAATATTATAAATACAATAAATAATTAATATTAATTAATAATTAATAAGAGAGAGGGAGGCAGAAGACAGTCCATCTTGTCTCTTGTGCTTTACTGATAATATAATACAATATATTGTATATACATATTAATATTTATATTATAATGCAATACAATAATAATAATAATATTAATTAATAATTAGTGACGAGAGAGGGAGGCAGAAGACACTTCCATCTTGTCTCCTGTGCTTTACTAATAATACAATATATTGTATATATATATATATATATATATATATAATATTGATGTTTCAATAAAATTATTATATTATAATAATAATTAATAATTAGTGATGAGAGAGGAAGGCAGAAGACACTTCCATCTTGTCTCCTGTGCTTTACTAATAATACAATATATTGTATATACATATACTAATTATAATGCAATACAATAAAATAATTATATTATTATTAATAATAATTAATAATTAGTGAAAAGAGAGAGGGAGGCAGAAGACAGTTTCACCTTGTCTCATGTGCTTTACAAATATTACAATATATTGTATATATATAATAATTATAATATTATAATGCAATACAATAATAATAATAATAATAAAAATATTAATTAGTAATTAGTGACGAGAGAAGGAGGCAGAAGACACTTCCATCTTGTCTCCTGTGCTTTACTGATAATATAATATTATTGTATATACATATATTTATAATATTATAATGTAATACAACAATAATAATAAATATGAATTAGTGATGGGAGAGGGAGGCAGAAGACACTTCCGTCTTGTCTCCTGTGCTTTACTAATAATACTATATATATATATATATATATTATAATGCAATACAATAAAATAATTATATTATTATTAATAAATAATTAATAATTAGTGAAGAAAGGGTGGGGGGCAGAAGACAGTTCCATCTTGTCTCATGTGCTTTACTAATAATATAATACAATATATTGTATATACATATATTTATAATATTTACACCCTTATATTGTAATATTATTAGTAATATTACATATAATATAAATATATTATTATTATATTACATATAATTATAACATTGTATTATTGCTAATAGCATGACATTGTATTATATTATTAGCATAGCACAACATCACTATCATATTTTACTATATTGTATTATACCTTTATATTACAATATTATTAGTAATATTACATATAAAATATATAATTGTAACGTTGTGTTATCATTAATAGTATTATATTGTATAATATTATATTGTTAGCATAGCGCAATATCAGTGTTATATATTGTACCATATCCTTATATTGCAATATTATTAGTATATAATATAAAATATATAATTGTAACATTTCATTATTACTAATAGTATTACATTGTATTATATTACTAGCATACCACAATATCAATATTATATATTGTACCATTTCCTTATATTGCAATTATTATTAGTAATATTACATATAATATAATTTATATAATTATAACTTCCATCTTGTCTCCTGTGCTTTACTAATAATACAATATATTGTATATATATATATATATATATATATATATATATATATATATATATATAATATTATAATATTATAATATTGTATATTATATTATATATTATATTACTTATGCTCTGGCCAGAGTGAAAAGAGAGTTGGGCAGAAGACAGTTCCATCTTGTCTCCTGTGCTTTACTAATAATATAATACAATATATTGTATATACATATATTTATAATATTTACACCCTTATATTGTAATATTATTAGTAATATTACATATAATATAAATATATTATTATTATATTACATATAATTATAACATTGTATTATTGCTAATAGCATGACATTGTATTATATTATATTATTAGCATAGCACAACATCACTATCATATTTTACTATATTGTATTATACCTTTATATTACAATATTATTAGTAATATTACATATAAAATATATAATTGTAACGTTGTGTTATCATTAATAGTATTATATTGTATAATATTATATTGTTAGCATAGCGCAATATCAGTGTTATATATTGTACCATATCCTTATATTGCAATATTATTAGTATATAATATAAAATATATAATTGTAACATTTCATTATTACTAATAGTATTACATTGTATTATATTACTAGCATACCACAATATCAATATTATATATTGTACCATTTCCTTATATTGCAATTATTATTAGTAATATTACATATAATATAATTTATATAATTATAACATTGCATTGTTATAATATTGTAATATATTGTATTGTATTATAATATTATAAATATTATATGTGTATACAATATCCTTATATTACAATACAATAATAATAATAATTAATATTAATAATTAGTGAAGAGAGAGGGGGGGCAGAAGACAGTTCCATCTTGTCTCCTGTGCTATGCTAATAATATAATATATTGTATAGAGGGAAGTTGGGCAGGAAAGGTGTATAAAAGGAAGTGGTGGTGGGAAAAAGTCAGTAGTGTCTTTCTTTGCTGCAGAGATACAAGTAATATATCCATTTCAAAGCAAAACCAAGTCCATATGGTCCAAGTCCATTGTTCGTGGGGGTCGCAGTGGTGGTCTGTCAGAGCCGAATCAGGTGAAGGTACTGCAAATCCCATCTAGTTGAGGAACAGCCACCAAAAAGACCTTATTTCTTTACAGAATTGTGACAGCACAACGAGAAATGCCTTTCCATCTCTGATCATATAGCCCGATTTGTTTTGTTTTCATTCTCTTTCCTCCCATTGAACCTTTCTATTTTTCCCCCATTGAAACTAGAAAACTTGCTGACCTCAGTGTTGATGAGTTCCTGACCTCCGGATTTGATTCCGATCTTGGTGATGATGATGATGATGATGACAACTCAGGAGGAGATGCTTGGATGCTGAATGGAGTGAACGGAAAGCCAAGCCAGAATGGAAAGACTGGCAGCAAGAAGAAGGCAATCCTCAAATCAAAACCGACGGAAAAGTAAGCAAAGGGGCAGAAATACTGGATATGCTGATTTTCTTTGTCCACCTGCTCCCATGTTGTGATGTCCCCTCAAATGGCTCTAATAGATTTAGTTGGTCGTGGTTCTGTGTGCCTATTGATCTACTCACATTTACTGCTAGTGTGTTGTCACATGCAATTGTCTATTAACAGAATGTGCTCTCTATATGCCCAGTGGGACGCCAGGGTGCCTCAGCTGAGAGGCCCTATGAATTTCCCTAGAAGCTTAGAAAGTTTAACAAAGTTCGTTATTGGTGCTTAAGTCTTCAACAAATCAATCAAATACTTCTTAGATCTTCAACACACAGACTAAACACTTTAAAACTCAGGAAAATTGGTGGCTTTCTTAACTTGCCCACAAAGGACAGGCAACTTGCTTCATGAACTGTTTCTTTCTTCTATAAGGGAAATCCTTTGACCCCTCACAACTCTATGATTTTATTTATTTATTTACAGTATTTATATTCCGCCCTTCTCACCCCGCAGGGGACTCAGGGCGGATTACAGTGTACACATATATGGCAAACATTCAATGCCAATTTGACATACAACATATACAGACATACACAGAGGCTATTTAACTTTTTCTGGCCACCAGGGGAGCTGTTGCTTTCAACGTCCATCTGCGACGCTGGTGAAGCACTTCCGCATTCCCCGCATGCTTCCCCGCTGGAATGCTTTGCTGGAGTCTTTTTTATGGCCTCATAAATTAGTTAATTTAGCCTCCCCACACTTTAAGGTGGTACCTAATTTTCCTACTTGACAGATTTATTTATTTATTTATTTATTTATTTTATTCACTTGTATACCGCTAATATCTCAGCCTAGGTCGGCGACTCATTGCGGTTTACAACAATAAAAACAGTCTCCAATTTAAAACATACACACATACAATACAAATTATTGGGCCACCAATAATAATCTCATGCATCTCGAGTTAAAATCATGATCCAGAATTCGTTGTCCAAAATTACCTGTCCTTAGTCACCAAAATTCGATTGCAGCGGATTAGCCGAATGCTTGTTTAAACAACCATGTTTTCAATCTCTTCCGAAACACCATCAGCGAAGAGGCTGATCGTACCTCTATAGGGAGGGTGTTCCAAAGCCGAGGGGCCACCACAGAGAAGGCCCTGTCTCTCGTTCCCGCCAGCCGCACTTCTGAAGCTGGAGGGATAGAGAGCAGGGACTCTCCAGAAGATCTTAGGGTCCTGGTGGGCTGATAGGCTGAGATACGTTCGGATAGATAAGTTGGGCCAGAACCGTTTAGGGCTTTAAAGGCCAGCGCCAGCACTTTGAATTGAGCCCGGTAGCATATCGGCAGCCAGTGGAGCTGGTGCAGCAGAGGAGTTGTGTGCTCCCTGCGCCCCGCTCCTGTTAGTATCATGGCTGCCGCCCGTTGGACTAATTGGAGCTTCCGGACTGTCTTCAAAGGCAACCCCACGTAGAGAGCGTTGCAGTAATCAAGGCAGGATGTGACCAGAGCATGGACTACCGTGGCTAAGTCAGACTTCCCAAGGTACGGTCGCAGTTGGCGCACAAGTTTTAACTGTGCGAAAGCTCCCCTGGTCACCGCCGAAACCTGGGGTTCCAGGCTCAGCGATGAGTCCAGGATCACACCCAAACTGCGAACCTGCGTCTTCAGGGGGAGTGCGACCTCGTCTAACACAGGCTGTAACCCTATACCCTGTTCAGCCTTACGACTAACCAGGAGTACCTCTGTCTTGTCTGGATTCATTGTCTGGATTCAGATGCAACTGTCTTTCGGGTTGCAAAGGTCGACAACAGGCTACACAATTGGTTAGAAACCCACTCCAACCCAGGCTGGCTTTGCTGCCGTGGGGCCCTTACTCCGGTTCCAATTTGCATTATGGCTAGCTCGAGTGGTCCTTACCAGGCAAAGTCTCTGTGTAGATTTTCCAAGACGAAGGAACTCCTTTACCTTCCAGCGAAGGCTGGCTGTAGAGCTGTGGAACTGTATTTCCCCAGCAAGAGCTGCAAGACTGTATTCTCCAGCAAAAGCTGCAGGACTGTTTTCCCCAGAAGCTGTGAGAAACAAAGCTTTCTACAGGTGGGAGAAATTCACACATCCTGTAAGAAAGGCTTCACTGTACAAAACTGAGCGAAAGGTCCCTTTTCCCCCCCAAACCTGAAAAAAGGGATGGAACTAGACAGGGGGAGTGTGACCCTCTTTGTTCTCTTGGACATCTCAGTGGCTTTCGATACCATCGATCATGGTATCCTTCTGGGACGACTCTCTGGGATGGGTCTCGGGGGCACGGTTTTGGCTCCAGTCCTTCCTGGAGGGTCGATCCCAGATGGTGAAGCTGGGAGACGCCTGCTCGGACCTCTGGCCTTTGACCTGTGGGGTCCCACAAGGCTCTATTCTGTCTTCCATGCTTTTCAACATCTACATGAAACCACTAGGAGAGGTCATCCGGAGTTTTGGAGTTGGGTGCCACCTCTATGCGGATGACACACAGCTCTACTACTCTTTTCCACCTAACTCCAAGGAGGCCCTCTCGGGTGCTGGGCGAGTGCCTGGCCGCTGTGTCTATCTGGATGAGGAAGAACAAGCTGAAGATCAATCCCGACAAGACAGAGGTCCTCCTGGTCGATCGTAAACCAGATCGGGGTATAGGGTGGCAACCTGTGCTGGACGGGGTTGCACTCCCCCTGAAGTCACAGGTCCGCAGTTTGGGTGTCCTCCTGGATTCATCACTTACGGTTGAGGCTCAGGCGCCTGCGGTGGCCCTTTGCACAACTAAAACTCGTGCGGCAACTGCGACCGTACCTCGTGAAGGCGGATCTGGCCAGGGTGGTCCATGCCTTAGTCACCTCCAGATTGGACTACTGTAATGCACTCTACGTGGGGCTGCCCTTGAAAACGGCCCGGAAATTTCAATTGGTCCAACGGGCGGCGGCCAGGTTGTTAACTGGTGCTCCTTACAGGGAGAGGTCAACCCTCCTGTTTAAGGAGCTCCACTGGCTGCCATTCATTTTCCGGTCCCAATTCAAGGTGCAGGTGCTTACCTACAAAGCCCTGAACGGTTTGGGACCCGCCTACCTGCGTGACCGCATCTCTGTGTACGAACCCACACGATCTCTTTGTTCATCTGGAGAGGCCCTGCTCACGATCCCACCTGCATTGCAAGCGCGATTGGTGGGGACGAGGGATAGGGCTTTCTCGGTGGTGGCCCCTTGACTCTGGAACTCTCTCCCTACATCAGGCAGGCCCCGTCGCTAGCAATCTTTAGGAGGAGCTTGAAACCGTGGTTGTTCCAGTGTGCCTTCCCGGAATAAGGAAACTCCTAGCATTATGTCCCAACGCATTTTATCAGAGATCCAGGATATCTGCATGCCCATCCACCTCCAAACACTCCACCTTGTCATGCCCAGCACTTTTAATTTTAATTATTACACTTGGCCCGGCCATTGTTTTTAATTGTGTCATTGGGTGTTGTTAATGTTATTGCTTTGTTGTTTGAGTTATTGTATTGCCGTTGCTGCTGTTTTAATTGTTGTATTTGGGCTCGGCCTCTTGTAAGCCATACAGAGTCCTTCGGGAGATGGTAGCGGGGTACAAATAAAGGTTTATTATTATTATTATTATTATTATTATTATCTAAAGAACTTAACGATGATTGGTGGGTCGTTGGCCCTATGATTGCAGCCTGGAGGAAGCTGCCAGATTGCAAAATGCATGCCCTAAAGGAATTCATGCAGACAAGCAAAGAAAGAAAAGCGGGGGTTGAAGCTCCTGGAACAGCCGTGCCAGCACAGTTAGGTGGGCAGAAGCTGGGGCTAACAGCAGGAGCTCACCCTGCTCCCCGGATTTGAACCAGTGACCTTTTGGTCAGCAACTTCATCAGCTCAGCGGTTTAACCCACTGTGTCATCGGGGGCTCCAAAAAACTATATATTTATTCAAAGTAAAGAATTCAGTGTGTCTTGCGAGCAAGGCTCATTGAACTCAATAGAAAGTTAATTTTCCTGTATCAGATGAAGGGCCCATCGAGTGACAGTTAGATTGAGATGCCTCTTCTTTCGACCAGGAATCTGAAGAAGGGGAAAGCTTCGCAGCATAAAGACCAACTCTCCCGGCTGAAGGAAAAGGATCCGGAATTTTACAAATTCCTGGAGGAAAATGACCGCACCCTTCTTAATTTTGACGATTCAGACAGTTCCGACGAGGACCTTCATGTCCTACCTGAAAAACTGGAGGTAGGTTCCGAAAATGAAGACAAGCTAGTCGCCAGCAGTGTTCTGGGAAATATGAGAACGAGTGGTTTACCGTATTTACTCGAGTATAAGCCGACCCAAATATAAACTGAGGCACCTCATTTTGCCACCAAAAAATGGAAATACTTATTGACTCGAATATAAGTCGAGGGTGTGAAAAGCAGCAGCTACTGTTAATACAAAATAAATATAGATACCAATAAAATTACATTAATTGAAGAAACAGTAGGTTAAATGTTTTTCAATGTTTACATAAAACTAATTTAAAATAAGACTGACCAACTTTGATTAAACCATTATTCTAACCTTTTTCAGTGTCAATGTGCTTACGTATCCTTCCAATAATAATAAAGAAAGTAAAATAATAAATGTAATAACAACAATAAAGTAAAAATAATAAATAGATAAAATAAATGTAATAAATAATAAATAGAGTAAAATAATAAATAATAAATAATAGAGTAAAATAATAAATGTAATAATAATAAGTAAAATAATAAATGTAATAATAATAAAATAGAGTAAAATAAAATGTAATAAAAAAATAATAGAGTAAAATAATAAATGTAATAATAATAATAAAATAATAGAGTAAAAGTAATAAAATAATAATAGAGTAAAATAATTAAATGTAATAAATAATAAATAATAGAGTAAAATAAATGTACTAAATAATAAATAGATAAAATAATAAATGTAATAATAATAATAGAGTAAAATAATTTAAATGTAATAATAAATAGAGTAAAATAAATGTAAAAATAATAAGAAATAAATAAAATGTAATATAATAATAATAGAGTAAAATAATAAATGTAATAATAATAAATAATAAAATAGAGTAAAATAACCAATGTAATAATAGTAATAATCGAGTAAAATAATGTAAATGTAATAATAATAATAATAGAGTAAAATAATAAATGTAATAATAATAATAGAGTAAAATAATAAATGCACTAAATATAATAATACAGTAAAATAATGTAAATGTAATAATAATAGAGTAAAATAATCAATGTAATAATAGTAATAATAGATAAATGTAATAATAGAGTAAAATAATAAATGCAATACTAATAAAGTAAAATAATAAATGTAATAATAAATAAATAAATAAATAATAAAATAATAAAGAGTAAAATAATAGTAATAATAATAATAGAGTAAAAATAAATAAATGTAAAAATAATAAAGTAAAATAATAAATGTATAATAATAATATAAATAGAGTAAAATAATAAATGTAAATAATAATAATAGAGTAAAATAATAAATGTAACAACAACAATAATAAAGTAAAATAATAAAATATAATAAATGTAATAACGCCAATAATAGAGTAAAATAATAAATGTAATAACTATAATAATAAAGTAAAGTAATAAATGTAATAAAAATAATAAATAGAGTAAAATAAATGTAATAAAATAATAATAGAGTAAAATAATGTAAATGAAATAAAACCAATAATAGAGTAACATAATAAATGTAATAAAATAATAGTAATAATAACAGAGTAAAATAATAAATAACTTTGACTTGAGTATAAGCCGAGGGCAGCTTTTTCAGCCTAAAAATGGGGCTGAAAAGCTAGGCTTATACTAGAGTATATACAGTATTTAAAAGTACACAATAAAACCAGAAGAGCAAAGCACGTAAAGTAAATATTTATTATTTATTTATTTTCAGTATTTATATCCCGCCCTTCTCACCCCGCAGGAGACTGAGGGCAGATTACAATGCACATATACATGGCAAACATTAAATTCTATTCAGGCAGTAAGAGCACCTAAAGCTTCAGAGTTCTTCTGTTCAACCATTTCAAAGCTCCCTGCTTGAGTAGTGATGGCACGGTCATCAGCATAGATGAAACTCTCTGTCCCTTCTGGCAGTAGCTAGTCATTTGTGTAAATGTTAAATATTGATGGAGCAACCTGGTTCTCCTTGTAATAGGCAGTAAGAGCACTTAAAAATTCAGAGAGTTTCTGTTCAACCATTTCAAAACTCCCTATTTGAGCGGTGATGGCGTGATCGTCAGCATAGATGAAACTCTCTGTCCCTCCTGGCAGTGGCTAGTCATTTGTGTAAATGTTAATCATTGATGGAGCATGCTTCGGAGAGCTTCTGTTCCACCATTTCAAAGCTCCCTGCTTGGGTGGTGATGGCATGATCATCAGCATAGATGAAACTCTCTGTCTCTTCTGGCTGTGGCTGGTCATTTGTGTAGATATTAAACATTGATGGAGGAAGGTGGCTTTCCCTGTAATAGGCAGTAAGAGCACCTAAAGCTTCGGAGAGTTTCTGTTCAACCATTTCAAAACTCTCTACTTGAGCGGTGATGGCATGATCGTCAGCATAGATCATGCCATCTGTCCCTTCTGGCAGTAAGAGCACCTAAAGCTTCGGAGAGCTTCTGTTCAACCATTTCAAAGCTCCCTGCTTGGGTGGTGATGGCATGATCGTCAGCATAGGTTAAACTCTCTGTCCCTTCTGTTGTTCTTCTGTTTTCGCCATCTGCTTCTCTGGGTGTCTTTGTAGACGGCCGATGCTCACACCAGAAGTGACTTGCAGTATACAATAAATGGCTGAACTAAATACAAATACATCAGTCTTCAACCAAGTCAGATCACTTCTCTATCTAGCCTTGGAGTACAATCTCTTTAGCCTAACTTTGAAGTGTCTGACGCTCTCCAAATAACCCCGAGCTCTCTGATTTGTTCTTAAATTTTTGGCGCATGCATTTGAATAACCCACCCGTGAGCTCTTCACTACCCCCAAATACGTCCATTTGCCTTTGAATTCCTTCTCAAAAGGGCAAAGCTCAGGGGTTTGGAATCCATATCCGCTCCGAGCCGCTTAGTTTAAAATACTTTTCACAGGAAGCAAGTGATGAGGATGAGGATGATGACGAAGAAAAAGAAAAGGCTACGAAACGGGAAAAAATTGAGTTTATCACTGTGACTTTGAAGATGGTGGAACAGTGGAAACAGGCTGCAGAGGTAAGACATAGAATCCCTGCTTGTTGTTCTTCTCTTCCCTCTCCTCGTTCTCCTCTTCTTTTTCCTCCTCCTCCTGTTCTTGTTCTTCTGTTGCAAAAAGCTCAAATGAGAGGCCTGAACTGTCTCAAGAAGAGTCACAAGGCCACATTCCTGGGAGAGGCCTTTCACCGTTTTTGTCAGAGCAACTGACAAAGGTGGTTTGTCAGGTGCAGAAGTTAACGAGAGTCAAGTTAATGAGAGTGTCGATAGAATTTATTTTATGTATTTATTTACAGTATTTATATACTGCCTTACTCACCCCTGGGGGGACTCAAAGCGGTTTACACATAAATAATGGCAAGATTCAATTCTTTATGTTGGGCACAGATACGTTGCCAATACAAACAGTTACAATAGTAAAAGCACAATTAAACATAAATCATAATTAAAACAATACATCAACAAGCATTAAAACAATCTCATCAGTTGAATCGCCGTTCCAGTCAATGTCCCTCTAAAATGCTACATACATCTTCTGTCCGAAGGCCTGGTCCCATTGATTTTAATTTTTTCCCCCTAAAAGCCAGGAGGGAGGGAGCGGATTTTACCTCATTTGGGAGTGTGTTCCATAGGCGAGGGGCCACAGCCGAGAAGGCTCTGTCTGTTGCCCCCGCCAGACGCATTTGTGCTGTTGACGGGAGCGAGAGCAGGGGCTCCCTGGATGATCTTACATGACGAGGTGGGACGTAGGATGATGTTCCTGATGTCAGGCCTGGGTCTGTTGGCATTGGGGATGAGGGTTTGCTTGGGCCTGAGTCGTGCTCAAATGTGAGGCCTGGGCTGCCTCAAGAAGAGTCACAAGGCCACATTCCTGGGAGAGGCCCTTCACACTCTTTGTCAGAGCAACTCTCTGAAGGTGATTTGTCAGGGCAGAAGTTAACAAGAGTCCAGTTAATGAGAGTGTAGACAGAATTTATTTTATTTATTTATTTACTGTATTTATATACCGCCTTTCTCACCCCTGGGGGGACTCAAAGCGATTTACACATAAATAATGGCAAGATTTAATGCCTTATGTTGGGCACCGAAACGTTGCCAATACAAACAATTACAATAATAAACCACAATTTAATGCTTGTTTAATACATCAACAAGCATTAAAACAGTAAAACAGTCTCGTCAGTCAAATCGCCGTTCCAGTCAATGTCCCTCTAAAATGCTACATACATCTTCTGTCCGAAGGCCTGGCCCCAGAACCATGATTTTAATTTTTCCCTAAAAGCCAGGAGGGAGGGAGTGGATCTTACCTCATTTGGGAGTGTGTTCCATAGGTGGGGGGCCACAGCTGAGAAGGCTCTGTCTGTTGCCCCCGCCAGACGCATTTGTGCTGTTGATGGGAGCGAGAGCAGGGCCTCCCCAGATAATCTTAGATTACGAGGTGGGACGTAGGATGATGTTCCTGATGTCTGTTGGTCCTGAGGTCTGTTGGCATTGCTTGGGCCTGAGTTATGCTCAAATGAGAGGCCTGAGCTGCCTCAAGAAGAGTCACAAGGCCACATTCCTGAGAGAAGCCCTTCACAGTCTTTGTCAGAGCAACTCTCTGAAGGTCATTTGTCAGGTGCAGAAGTTAATGAGAGTCAAGTTAATGAGTGTGTAGATAGAAAGCAAGGGTTTTGTAAACAGGCAGAGTGCTAGGGCAAAGTCTGCATTTTGGATCATCAGCTGATTTTTTAAATTAAATAAATTATTATTATTATTATTATTATTTTCTGCTTCTTCCTCTCTGTCCTTCCTTTGAAAGTTTCTCTGATCCTTCTTTCCTTTATCCAGAGGCAGCTCTCGCCAAGACTTTTCCATGAGATCACTCAGGCTTTCAAGGCCTGTGTGGTGACAGCGAAAGGGGATGCCGTTGGGATGGAACCAGGGAAGTTCAAAGTCATCGACAGCACAGGTGAGAACTGGGTTCGATGCCTACTTTATATAACAGAACCATGTGATTTTATGGTAGGCTTTTTGTCACGATTGTGCCATTCAAACCACTTGAGGGCAAACAGAAATAATAGAGAGCTGCTCTAACTGAATTGCAGCATTGGTTCATCTCGCCTAGGACTGTCAACTAATTGACAGGAGGACCTTGGGGTTTTCAACAGGATTATGTCTGCACCGGGATTGTGGTGCAGCTGGCTGAGTGTCAGCTGCATGAAGATCACTCTGACCAAAAGGTCATGAGTTCAAAGCCAGCCCGGGTTGGAGTGGGTTTCCAACCAATTGTGTAGCCTGTTGTCGGCCTTTGCAACCCGAAAGACAGTTGCATCTGTCAAGTAGGAAAATTAGGTACCACCTTAAAGTGTGGGGAGGCTAAATTAACTGATTTATGAGGCCATCAAGAAGACTCCAGCAAAGCATTCCAGCGGGGAAGCATGCGGGGAATGCGGAAGTGCTTCATCAGCGTCGCAGATGGACGGCGACCAGAAAAAGTTAAATAGCCTCTGTGTATGTCTATATATGTTGTATGTAAAAATTGGCGTTGAATGTTTGTCATATATGTGTACACTGTAATCCGCCCTGAGTCCCCTGCGGGGTGAGAAGGGCGGAATATTAAAGCTGTAAATAAATAAATAAATAAATAAATTAACAGCACCTACGCATCCTAAGTATTAACTTTATCTATATACAGTGGGGGAAAAAGTCTAACTCATGGTGAATTCTCCCTAAACCTCTCCAGTACTGTGCTTGATATAATATATACTATATGTACATATAATATTGATAATATTATAATGAAATACAATATACTACTACTAATAATAATAAAATGATAGTATAATTATATATTTTATATTAAATGTAATATATAATATTAATATTGTGCTATGATAATAATATATTGTATTTATACTTGTAAGCCGCTCTGAGTCCCCTTCGGGGTGAGAAGGGCAGCATAGAAATGTCATAAATAAATAAATAGTACGTTCAATTGCTGAACAATTCCTCTGTTTGCTGTGTGCCATAGAAAAGAGTAGGAAAGGGTTAAGGGAGAGGCAGTGGGTAGAGTCATGCAAATTTCACACCAATGGAGAGAGTCAGAAACACTGGGATGTCTGTGGTGGAGTTAGATTGCAGGTGAACTATACATCCCAGATGTTGTGGTTCAGTCTGGGCCTAAGCTTTCTGAACCTGAGTTTCCTCAGGACGAGGAGGATGATGGGTTACAGATTTCTGCACATGTTCCGGTCAGTGAGTCAAATGAGGCAGACAGTGTTGATTCTGAAGAAGAGACAGCATTTCTGTTCTCTAGAGAAAAGAATGTGTTTTCAGATAAAGATGGTGAAACTTCGGAGCTCCAGGTGGAGACTCCTTCTGGGAGCGCAGGGCCTCTCAGTTCCCAGGGTGACGAAGATAATGAGCTAACCGGCCTTGAAGATAGTAGTGGAGATTTGATTAGAGAGGACTGGTTGCAATTAAGAATTCGAAGAAGCGCACGCCTTGCCAACAAGTGTGAAGCTAGAGGTCAACGTAATGCTTTCATGTTGGGGAAACTTATTTAACGATCTGATCGAAGGGCATTTTCTGTCAGTCCAATGTTGCTCTTACCCGGTTAACTTCTGTGGAATTACCTTGGCTTTTGCGGAAAGCTTCTGGCTCTTTGGGAGTTTGATTTTGATCCTGATTTTGGACACTTTGTCTTGCTGCCATGGACTTTTGCTTAACCAATGCTGAAGGACTATGCTTCATGTTATTTGCCTTTGAAACCTGGGAACTTCGCATTTATTTATTTATTTATTTGGTTTACTTT